CTGAGTTATAGGTAAGACTGTCTACGACTGCAATTCCGGGCGTCTATTCAAAGACACTGTGTCTATTAAGTAAATAACAAATGAGACCACGTAGGTTGTTTAGCATTTATTTATTTGTTTTCCTATTCGATTTTTTAATTAGACGTTATACTGAATGTTTTTAATTTATCGTGTAACGACATGGTTACCTTATGTTCACGTTAGATATGGCATCGGTGTTCTCAATATCTATAGGCTTTTTTTTTAAATTTGAACTTAAAATGGTAATAAATCGGTACGAGAAAACATTGATCAGCATGGCGTGTATGGCGAAATTTGATATTGTTTTCTTAGAATATTTACCGTTAATTCTGCGTCACACCTGAGACCCAGTGACACGATCCTTGTCGGTTTTCTAGATCTTACATTGTGTGGAATTTGTTCTCGCAGATCTTACCACAACAATGGCCAGAGAACAGACGGTATATGACGAGTCGTCATCACAAATATTAGATTCTAATACTCATCTCTTACACGTGACTTAACGAAAGATACAGAAACAAATGTATTGACAAAAGAAAATGAAAGATACATTTCACGCATACAGATGGATTTATTAAATACACTTTGGAAGCTAATAAGACATAAAGCTTATTTAAATATCAGTTCAATGACGCACGTTGCGTACTTGTAATAGTATCATAAAATTAAAATAACACGAAGCGAAATTGTGGCTGGCTGAGGACTCCATTGTGACGTTATCGCTATTTGACGTCTGAAGATTCTTTTTAGTATGGTCCCTACGGCATAAGCACTACAAATTAGGCTAAATTGTTTGGCGGACGACATTTCAAATCCAAAATACGTTGTACATCGTATATGGTCTTTAACAGTTCGATAGTTACGTGTTTACTGTTCTACATGTCTGAATTTAGCGTCGAGCAACAAATTCAGGTTCTCAAAGGACTGCTCCTACTGCAGTGGTAACATTTCAAGGGCCCGTTGATAATACCAGTTTTGTGAAAAGTTATGGGCCATGTATAGTGGCATGGCATTTTGTTGGTCTATCAAAATGACACCAGTATAAATACATATATTTCAATGTTACATGTTCAACTTCAAACAGGTATAGTATAGAACCATTTGACTGACCCAAGCAAGGCATAGCCATGGAGAAAAGCCCATAGCACCTTCCTCATACATGCAAACAAATGCTAAATCAAAAGGCCTAACACCGAGTCGCTGCCAGGGGAGACAATGAGAGGGAACCAATTGTTTGTGAAGAAAAGAGATTAAGGACGTTCGTTCTTCCCTATCAAATAGAGAAATGACATATATCTTTATGTTACATATCTACATATAAACAGAAGCCTGTTATTACAAGTTGCAGCTCTTTAACTCGACAAGAACATACCAAAATGGTTTAAAATAACAGCGCAGTTTTACATAAAGGAAATGGTTCGGTTTCATTATTCATAGTGTATAACTGAATTCATGACTGACTTTATGGGTTGCCTTAAGTTATCAGGTTTTGGGTTTTGTTGTCTCATTATAAATAATGCATGTGGCGGGAGGGGGGGACTAAAATATGTTTGAGGAGTCTGGAGTCGTCATAAAATGTCAATGGAGATTTTCAGGCCTAATGCTATAGTTTATTATGAAAGACATTCAAACTTTAAAGTACAAAAATAAATAAAAATAAAAACACGACGTTTTAGTAATGGTATTGACATTGCATTATCGAATCGACTTAGGTAATGTTTTATTTCGAAAACATAAAATAATTTCTCATATGAATGCACTTTTGCAATGTAACCGCCTATTAATGATATTTCTAGTGTGTTAATGGTTCTCGCCATAAATACTACCATTTCCCACACGCTGACAAATACGGATATTGAAACAAATATTATATTTAGGTTTGATTAATTATTGATCCGATGCATTGGAAAGTCATCAGGGATCAGATTGCAACATACTGAGGTCACGTGATTTTTTACCATGTAGAGGAAGATGTTTTACTTAGAAGTCGCTCGGGGATAAGGGTTCTACTTTTGTCACGCATTCATATTGCATGAACAAAACATATTTTCTAATATCAATGGAACGTTGTACTCGATGCCATAGTTTAAACATTAAATTCTAGACTAATCAATAACGTCATAGATAGAAGCCAGTAATGATAGTGAGGAAACCAAAAATCTCATAAAACACGAAACAGGAAGCTGGCTTTCATAGGCTTTGCCAATTGCCTAATTCCTTTTGCTTTAAAATCCTGGCAATAAATTTATTCCGAAATGGAATGGTATCTTGAAAATGTCTAAGTATCTTGTAGCAATGTTAAAGGAGGGCGTTTCGGATTGGCGAGGCATCCCACTTATGACAGAATGACTTCGCTGGCTAATCTCGTGTGTCGCCAACTCACGTCTAGACTCCTCTTAATCTCTCGGGATTTGGAAACACCACGAAAACCCATAACTATAGATATCCTGTAGAATTTCCTGGTGTAATCAAGGCATCGGTTCGTGATCCTTGATTTATTTCATATTGCTTCATGTTCGATGTTTTCCTCGAGTTACACTCCAATGCAGTTTTAATTGGTCGGGCTTTGGAACTGATGCAGTATTACGTTCAATGGACGCTACAAATATATATATATATATATATATATATATATATATATATATATATATGTGTGTGTGTATATATGTGTGTATACAGCAAATAAATAAATAAAATTATGTGTGTGTATAAAATAAATAAATAAAATAAAATAAATAAATAAATAAATAAAATAAATAAATAAATAAATAAATAAATAAATAAAATAAATAAATAAATAAATAAAATAAATAAATCAAATACCTCTGCAATGCTATTTCGATATTTAAGTAGTTAATAGTAAAACGATTGTGTTTGAAGAAGGATATTATTCAATTTATCCAAAACCAGATTCATTCCCGTACTTTTATGATGTTACTTTAAAGGACAAGGATTTGATCAAACAATTGGTTATCAGCATGTAAATCGTTTGGAAATAAAAGTATATACACAATGACTAGGTTATATAGTCGTCATCGTTATTGTCTATGATATTTATGCATTGTATACAAACGCACTTGAGCTCTCTAACGAGCTACTAGACGCAAAAATTGATTCTTATGTCTTAAGTAATACAATTCAGTCATCTCTAAGACAAAAAAGGCGACGTATTGGCAGAGAGACAATGTCATAGTATTGATAATGTTTTAAACGAAAGATCCAGCTTCAATATAGGTACATTTTAAAAATATATAACCCGTGAATACATATCTTGTCCTGTTTCAAGTCGGAGATCTGAACAGAAAAGGAAGACTATTTCTGTAACAGCTAAACAAACGAGTAGAATTAACGTAAAGTTTGGCGTAGTATAAAAACAAGTAAGCTCTCACATAAGACCAGCTCCGGTAGTAAATTCTCAGATACTATTTACATGTATGAACATCAAAGCATGTATTTGCCATCACAATGAAATACACAAACGATATAGGATTTTTCATCTTTGAAAGCATCTGTCATTTCTGTCGAGAGCCAGTCTCTAAATAGAAGTTCAATTTTTTCAGAAAAATATCACATGATTCTTTAGATCTTTTTTCTGCATATTCTGTTGTTGACAAACGGTATCGATTTGATTCAAGGTTCTGCTGACGTTTTTAAGTAACTTTAACCGTTTGACATGTGGGTCAGCTCTAATCTGACATGTTTTGGCTAGGTCCGTTAATTAGTCTTACCGATCGTGTCTGAGCGGGACTACATTGTACACGAAGCAATCCGTCAAACAACTTTACACATTCAATTTTGGAATTTAGATGGAAATGTTTCCTGGCGGATATTACTGGAAAAACTAGGTTGAAGTAAATAGTGTAAGCATGATAGAATAGGTCACAGTGATATGATGTATAAATGGACTATTACAGGTAACTTTCGATATCAATGTAGTGAGACGATGTACTGACACAGTTTGCCGTAACACTTCGTCAATGAGCTATCTATTGCTAAAATTTTGAACTTTGGACAAAGAGGAATGATCAGGTTTTTCTAGTTTTCGAGTTTTCCGAGTCTTTATTACTTAGTTAAGTGCGTCAAAGTACTTCAAGTTAAAAGGATATTCAAGTTTTCCAAGTTCGACTGTTGTTTAAAGAAATTATCAAAGGTTCCATAAGCCAACCCATTAAACCTGATTGGCATCACAAGCGGCTCATAATGTCTACCTTGGAGGGCCTAGTGGCAGGACCCGAAAAGGTTGCTGGTTGCATTTTTAGTTTCAATCAATTTTCTCTGTAACGAACAGTCTGATTTCGATCACATAACAATGATACCCTGTAGGTGAAGATGAAAATGCTTACTCGGCAAAATGTTGGAAAAGTATTTTTAGATCGGTATTCTGTCCGGGTACGATGGATGCAGTATACATCAATGTTGTATCACACCATTCTAAAAATAGTTATATGTTTTCCTTAATCAATCACACCTGTCTGTAATCAGTTCACTAACTTGAGATAAACACTATATGTGACTCTAGTCTGACAATGTATTGACCTGATAGATGTCGGGCATGTTTTGTTAATATGATAATACAAACTTTATGTATTTTTACAACAAGTGCGAAACAAGCTTTTCGCTTATAAAAAGTCATTCTTGCTGATCCGAATGGAAGCACGTATTGTCTCTGATAATTCAATATCACATTTAGATTGATAAACATAGCCATGAATTCACCAGACCTATACCATCAATTGCTTAATCACAAAACAATCCTCTGTCAAAAATGGATAAACGAGGATTAACTACCATTGTGTCACTTAAGATTGTAACTGAGTCGATATCACACCTCCTTGTGGATGAGTTATACCAAAATATAAAATAGGAAAAGACAAATAGTAAACTTATTATCTTCTTAATTTGTGTGTTTATATTGGTAATGTATCAACATGTTGTTAATATAATGGATATTTTGACAGCCATATGTTTTATTGTTTCAGATAAGTCCCGGAATACAAGTCTGTGTACCATAGTGATCGGTGCATATGAGGAATCAGAGGATTTGATGACCTTTATTTCACAGGTGTTCTCCGCCATAGACCATACAGGTAAATCATTTATAAATGGTCTCCTTCATAGACCATACAGTATGTCATTTATAGGTGGTCTCCGCCATTGACCATACAGGTAAATCATTTATAGGTAGTCTCCGCCATAGACCATACAGGTAAATCATTTATAGATGGTCTCCACCATTGACCATACAGGTAAATCATTTATAGGTAGCCTTCACCATAGACCATACAGGTAAATCATTTATAGGTAGTCTCCGCCATAAAACATACAGGTAAATCATTTATAGGTAGTCTCCTCCATAGACCATACAGGTAAATCATTTATAGGTAGTCTCCGCCATAGACCATACAGGTAAATCATTTATAGGTAGTCTCCGCCATGGACCATACAGGTAAATCATTTATAGGTAGTCTTCACCATAGACCATACAGGTAAATCATTTATAGGTAGTCTCCGCCATAAAACATACAGGTAAATCATTTATAGGTAGTCTCCTCCATAGACCATACAGGTAAATCATTTATAGGTAGTCTCCGCCATAGACCATACAGGTAAATCATTTATAGGTAGTCCCCGCCGTAGACCATACAGGTATGTCATTTATAGGTAGTCTCCGCCATAGACCATACAGGTAAATCATTTATAGGTAGTCTCCGCCATGGACTATACAGGTAAATCATTTATAGGTAGTCTTCACCATAGACCATACAGGTAAATCATTTATAGGTAGTCTCCGTCATAGACCATACAGGTAAATCATTTATAGGTAGTCTCCGCCATGGACCATACAGGTAAATCATTTATACGTAGTCTCCGTCGTAGACCATACAGGTAAATCATTTATAGGTAGTCTCCGCCATGGACCATACAGGTAAATCATTTATAGGTAGTCTTCCCCATAGACCATACAGGTAAATCATTTATAGGTAGTCTCCGTCATAGACCATACAGGTAAATCATTTATAGGTAGTCTCCGTCATAGACCATACAGGTAAATCATTTATAGGTAGTCTCCGCCATGGACCATACAAGTATATCATTTATAGGTAGTCTCCGCCATGGACCATACAGGTAAATCATTTATAGATGGTCACCGCTATAGACCATACAGGTAAATCATTTATAGGTAGTCTCCGTCATAGACCATACAGGTAAATCATTTATAGGTAGTCTCCGTCATAGACCATACAGGTAAATCATTTATAGGTAGTCTCCGCCATGGACCATACAAGTATATCATTTATAGGTAGTCTCCGCCATGGACCATACAGGTAAATCATTTATAGGTAGTCTTCACCATAGACCATACATGTAAGTCATTTATAGATGGTCACCGCTATAGACCATACAGGTATATCATTTATAGATGGTCTTCACCATGGACCATACATGTATATTATATATATGTAGTCTCTGCCATAGACATATTTACCTTTATAGATGGTCTTCTACAATGACTATTAAGACATATCAGTGATAACATTTATACATTCTACTGACCTGTTGGTAAGAGATCCCCGGTGAATTGTTGATTTTCTATGACTTTTAATGGACATTTGACAAACAGGTGGAAATTCGCTGCCGAATATAAAATGTGAGACTTCTGCCTGTTGCCTTTGTCTTTAAAAAAATCGTTTTGGCTTCCTTGACACTTTTGGTTTGATTATAAAAATGACAATATTTCATTGATATTGCGTCAGTAATATAGATATCGTCTTCTAGCTTGAGCAAAGGTGCGAAGGCAAGATTTCCATTATATTCATACAACAGATTGTGTAATGTTCTATAGAGAGTCACACTTACCGATTTGAGGATATGTAATCTTCTGAGATGTTTGACAATGAAATTAAAGCAACAAATTTTCTATGACAAATGTTGGAAGAGATGACGGGTTCGATATAATTACATTTCTTAAGGTCGAGATGTATGTTTCGGAGGAGGTTATTGTTTCCAATAAATATGTTCTACATTATCAAGAAACGGAAACATTTCCACAACATTGGAATTACCACGAATGGAGCGATATAATTTTCTGATGAAAAACAGAAGCAGCATTCCAATAGATGTATAGCCAACATCAGGGAGAGCTATACAAGCAAACAGAATTAAATACATAAATAATTCATTATAATTGTGTGTAATTTTCAACGACAGAAGAAAATTTTAAGTGCTGTCGTTTTATATTTCTACAATTATCAAGTTGTTTACTGAGAATCAATGATAAATGTTTCTAATAATTTTCCATTCTTGCAGCTTTTGGATATACAGTGTCTGCATGCAGTTTTATAATCGGTCTCCTGGCTATTGTATTAGGTAAGTTATGCATCCAGCTGGTAAAATATTTTGTCATGTTTCCGCCAACATGTACATAGCTATTAAATAGTTGGGGTTTTTTTTTTTTACATTTTCCTAACATAATCACCACAAAAAATGTATGTTTCATATCAATTTCATCCTTACTGTATATACCCAATGTCAAATTATCCGATTATTGCACAAAATAATTCATAAGTGACTAGAAATTTCCTCTACAAAGGATTGTACAGTGGGCACATAGAGGTTATCAACTTTAAACAATTACATCAACATGTCAACATATTTAAACTTCAAACTCAAATTCAATAAAACTAGGGCAAAATATGAACAAAAGAATTATTTACATTGTGATTTCAGAATTAGAAGGATCAGAACCCGATGAAGACGAATGCCGATGATTGGAAACGTAGAACCAAATAAGTAGCCAAGCCTCAATATAGAGTCTTTTCGTCCTTGTAGAACTCGTCTTTCATCCTAAGGGCCTAAATTGCTGCAACCAAGGCAGTAATAAAAGGAAAATCAAAATAGGTCAATTTATGTCAAGAAGCAGAAAAGAAGATGTGTAATAAATCAAAGGAATTTTAATTCTAAATTATTCTTAAAAATCGCGTCTGTATATTCTTTACCTTGTCACTATTCGAATGAATTAAAACATAACATGCAGGTTGTGACAAACGTCTGGGACTGAAGACCAATAGCAGTGTCTACAGACCTGTCTTCTGGCTTCCTTTATCATTAGAAACTTCAAAATTACAACCAGAAAATACCGTTCGGTCAACTAGATCGGAATTTAATCTTAAAATTGATGAAATGTAGGAAAAAACCAAGAGTAAAAAAAATCTTCCGCTCTATCAACGACACAAGACTTTTAATTCATTTCAAGTTAAACAAACTAAAGGCATGATAATGAACGTTGAACACATCCAACTTAAGTATTCTTCAATTAAATATCGTGGATCCAGGTATTGAAAGATGTCCGTCAGGCTTGAAACCCTGATTATAACTCATTGCCCTGAAACTGATGTTTATTCATTGTCGATGCTGCCAAGTTCATAGTTGTAATCTTAAAGCATTGACTACTGTTGTGTTGTCTGAGACCATGGACTGCTGTTGTGTTGTCTGAGACCATGGACTACTGTTCTATGGTCTGTGGCCTTGACCTCCTTTTGTGTGATCCAAGACCTTAATTATCAATCTATTATCTTTTTTAGGTATTCTGCGTTACGGTGCTTGTCCCTGTGAACCATGCGTCCCTATGTTCTTGGCTGTTGGAGGATGCGCACTCATGTTGCGAGCAATTTGTAAAATATTAAGTTGGTGTTGTAATAGACGAAAGACATGTGACGAGACAGAACCGGATGTACTTCAAACTCTCCATAGCATACTAGGAATTCTGGTTTTGTTTTGGACCATACCAGGTATTTTTTTCTTGAATGCATTTAAAACAATATAGCAACATCGTCTCAAATTTCGGTTAGTCCACCGTTCAATATATTTGTATTGCGTGATCTTACACTCCGTTTAACCTAAACATAAATATGTAGATGTCAACGTCATGTCCGTTATCCAGTGTAACACGAGATATCATCAACATAATATTATTGCTTAAGGATTGTGCGTTAAATTGAGATGATTAAGCCTGCATGGAACACGTGTGAAAGCGTCTATCATGGTCTACAGAGCTCAGTCAACGCTCAATCATCCCTGTCAGTTCAATTTCTGTATTAGTTTCAAAGTCTTAGAGTAAGCAGTTTATCATATACGTCTTACATCGATTGTGATATATGACTCATTGTTAATGGATGACAGCAGGAAAATAGGTGTCAAGTTAAGGGGCTTCATATTGATGGTCTGTTTTCTATACAACATAATGAACATTCATATCAAGTTATGGTTAGAAAACATTTGATCTAAATCTGGAAAATTTGACCCCCAAATTGTACAATATAAAATACAGAAAAGGATCATCGATACATGTAAATCAAAATGATGCAGGACATCGATGATTTTTTTCGGAGAATAGTATAACAACATCCTCATACCTAATTAGGCATTTCGGTAAACATCTACCAGACCCAAATCCTGGTAAAGGGGTGTCACTATGAGAATATATGTTTTATTTCACAATACTGTCTATATTTGGTGTTGTTCAATGACTGGTAGAAATAAAAACGATTTTTGCGAAATGAAATCAGATTCTATTAATGATAAATGTCTCGCATTATAATTGGACATCATTTTCAAGCTTGCATCTCCTCCCATTGTTTTAGAATATGTCATGGTTTCATACTTGGCAAAATAACATTAGAACCAATATCCCTTGTTGTCTGTGTGTGAAGCTAGCGATGTAATACATGACAGCAAAAGAAACAGCTCTCTGTGCCATCAGATACGTGATACAGATAGTGTAGCAATGTAGATGTTTATGTTCTATGTTAAACGTCTGAGAAATAGAATAGAGAACTTGTGTCAAATGTAAAAAAAAAAATGTAAAAAAGACACATTTCTACTCTATAAAAAGATATATTTCTATGGTTGTGTTAGACAAATTTTGGTCAATGTCTTCTTAACGGAAAAAAAAGAAAATCATATTCATTCAGGAGTCTTAGTTATTCGTTTCAGATAATCCATGGAATTAAAAAGATACTAGACACGGCGATTTTTGGTGTAGAATTACTGATGTGTATTCTTACTTAGCAAAACAGAAATATGGATCTATGATCTATCTTCAGTTTCATTAGTTTCTGTTTGTGTCTTTTGCTTAAGTATTACGTCAGGACTATGGCCAATTGTTATTGCCTTTGATTAATTAATTGCGCTGTTTTTTGGTTTATTACATCGAAAACTTAAAGACATCGTACTCAAGATCCAGAAATTGATATTTGCATGAAGCTGAATAATATGATTCAATATAATGTTGGAATGTTCCTTGCGAAGGGAGACAGTATGATAACAATGATGATTATCGATATTTCATTCCGTATATACTTTCTCTATATGATTATACTCAGATAGTTACGACTAATATCATTTAATTGTGTAATATATGTAACATGCTTTCTATTTTATTACAGGGATTGTTTGGATATTTGGTATAATCCACAAGGTGGACACTGGTCACGCCGAAAGCGATAATTACTGTGACTATGTATTGTACTGGTTTACAGTGTCGTTCCTTGGTATTATCTTTTTTGTGTTGCTACTCCAGTCCTCGCTACTCATCGCCATGTGTATCGTCCACAACTATATGTACACTCACGCAGACTACTCAAACTTTGACAACGACGACAACGAAACCGACGGAACAATTGAAGACCACCAACTGTCTTCAGAGGGCACAGTATGACGGGTTGATTATCAGCGTGTTTCGGGTTAGCTATTATGTCTTCAGAAAACGCAGTATGTCGGGATGATTATCAGTGTGTACCAAATTAGCTTTTATGTCTTCAGAAGACGCAGTATGTCGGGATGATTATCAGTGTGTACCAAATTAGCTTTTATGTCTTCAGAAGACGCAGTATGTCGGGATGATTATCAGTGTGTACCAAATTAGCTTTTATGTCTTCAGAAGACACAGTATGTCGGGATGATTATCAGCGTGTATCAGGTTATCTTTTATGTCTTCAGAAGACACAGTATGTCGGGATGATTATCACTGTGTTTCGGGTTAGCTATTATGTCTTCAGAAGACGCAGTATGTCGGGATGATTATCAGTGTGTACCAGATTAGATTTTATGTCTTCAGAAGACACAGTATGACGGGAATATTATCAGCGTGTATCGGGCTAACTGTTACTGTCGTATTGCATCATGCGTGATATAGATAATGTAGAATCTCGGAGTTAATCTCAAAACAATAATCAATTTAAATGACGTTTTCTTGCTGGTAGTTACACTCGACAAGAATTGGCGCCATCTATCGGGTTGATTCCATGTCCTAATGAATCTCAACGTGGTACTGTATAAACATATCTTTTTCATATGGTGAATTTGGTTCCACCGATAAGACGACACATTAATATGGTAAACTTAATTGATGCTGCCATAATCTATTGAATAAATTTATACTGTAGAATTCTAACCTTAAGTATTGTAAAATATCTATGGTTCTGCAGTATGAATGGTTTTATTGTGGAAAATTTTAAACGTGAACAAAGTAAGACTTTGAAATGTACTTAGTGTAAAAGGCTTATGTGTTAAACTCTGTGAAGTCTTATCTATCCAACTGTGTAGCAATATCAATTATCCTTCTGTCTTACAATTTTTGTTATTCAGCTGTGTGGGAATGTTTATTTCTCAGCTCTGCGAGAGTGTTAGCTCTCTTTCTGTCTTACAATTTTTACTATTCCCCTGTGTGGGAATGCTTATTATTCTGTTGTGAAACGTCGATAACCCTACTCTATGGGAATGTTAATAACCCTACTGTGTGGAAATGTTAGCAACCCTACTGTGTGGAAATGTTAATAACCCTACTGTGTGGAACTGTTAATAATCCTACTCTATGGGAATGTTAATAACCCTACTGTGTGTAAATGTTAATAACTCTACTGTATGGAAATGTTAATAACCCTACTGAATGGAAATGTTAATAACCCTAGTGTGTGGAAATGTTAATAACCCTACTCTATGGAAATGTTAATAACCCTACTGTGTGGAAATGTTAATAACCCTACTCTATGGAAATGTTAATAGCCCTACTCTATGGAAATGTTAATAACCCTAGTGTGTGGAAATGTTAATAATCCTACTCAATGGAAATGTTAATAACCCTACTGTGTGGAAATGGTAATAACCCTAATCTATGGAAATGTTAATAACCCTACTGTGTGGAAATGTTAATAACCCTACTCTATGGAAATGTTAATAACCCTAGTGTGTGGAAATGTTAATAACCCTACTCTATGGAAATGTTAATACCCCTACATTGTGAAAATGTTAATGACCCTACTCTATGGAAATGTTAATAACCCTACTGTGTGGAAATGTTAATAACTCTACTGTATGGTAATGTTAATAACTCTATCTATGGAAATGTTAATAACCCTACTCTTTGGAAACATTGATAACCCTACTGTATGGAAACGTTAATAACCCTACTTTATTGGAATGATAATTGCCCAAATGTGTGTAAATGTGTTTAATCCGACAGTGTGGAAACACTCATTTTTCAACAGTATGAGATTATGTTGTCTGTCTACTAATCGACGTCACTTTCAAGATACTATATTGATTCGTGTAATCATCAGCATTATATATAAAAGATCAGTGTATTGTGAAATGGTAACAGAAACTCAGACATAGCCAAATTTATACATTTTACGTCTAGCATCGATACTGATTGAAACGAACACGAGGAAATTCGTGCACAGTGGTTACGCGTGACAATATGAATATTACGGTCATGCCTAGATGTTACAGTGAACGTTATAACAATGACGAAGGTCATACCTAGATGTTACAGTGAACCTTATAACAATGTCGAAGGTCATACCCAGATGTTACAGTGAACGGTATGACAATGACAAAGGTCATGCCTAGATGTTACACTGAATGGTATGACAATGACGAAGGTCATGCCTAGGTGTTACAGTGAACGGTAGGACAATGGTATGACAATAACGAAGGTCATGCCTAGATGTTACAGTGAACGGTATGACAATGACGAAGGTCATGCCTAGAGTACACTGAACGGTATGACAATGACGAAGGTCATGCCTAGATGTTACACTGAATGGTATGACAATGACGAAGGTCATGCCTAGGTGTTACAGTGAACGGTATGACAATGGTATGACAATGACGAAGGTCATGCCTAGATGTTACAGTGAACGGTTTGACAATGACAAAGGTCCTACTTAGATGTTACACTGAACGATATGACAATGACGAAGGTCATGCCTAGAGTACACTGAACGGTATGACAATGACGAAGGTCATGCCTAGATGTTACACTGAATGGTATGACAATGACGTAGGTCATACCTAGATGTTACAGTGAACGATATGACAATGGTATGACAATGACGATTATCATGCCTAGATGTTACAGTGAACGATATGACAATGACGATTATCACGCCTAGATGTTACAGTGAACGGTATGAAAATGACGATTATCATGCCTAGATGTTACAGTGAACGGTATGACAATGGTATAACAATGACGAAGGTCATACCCGATGTTACAGTGAACGGTATGACAATGGTATGACAATGACGATTATCATGCCTAGATGTTACAGTGAACGGTATGAAAATGACGATTATCATGCCTAGGTGTTACAGTGAACAGTATGACAATGACGAAGGTCATACCCAGATGTTACAGTGAACGGTAGGACAATGGTATGACAATAACGAAGGTCATGCCTAGATGTTACAGTGAACGGTATGACAATGACGAAGGTCATGCCTAGAGTACACTGAACGGTATGACAATGACGAAGGTCATGCCTAGATGTTACACTGAATGGTATGACAATGACGAAGGTCATGCCTAGGTGTTACAGTGAACGGTATGACAATGGTATGACAATGACGAAGGTCATGCCTAGATGTTACAGTGAACGGTTTGACAATGACAAAGGTCCTACTTAGATGTTACACTGAACGATATGACAATGACGAAGGTCATGCCTAGAGTACACTGAACGGTATGACAATGACGAAGGTCATGCCTAGATGTTACACTGAATGGTGTGACAATGACGTAGGTCATACCTAGATGTTACAGTGAACGATATGACAATGGTATGACAATGACGATTATCATGCCTAGATGTTACAGTGAACGATATGACAATGACGATTATCACGCCTAGATGTTACAGTGAACGGTATGAAAATGACGATTATCATGCCTAGATGTTACAGTGAACGGTATGACAATGGTATAACAATGACGAAGGTCATACCCGATGTTACAGTGAACGGTATGACAATGGTATGACAATGACGATTATCATGCCTAGATGTTACAGTGAACGGTATGAAAATGACGATTATCATGCCTAGGTGTTACAGTGAACAGTATGACAATGACGAAGGTCATACCCAGATGTTACAGTGAACGGTATGACAATGGTATGACAATGACGATTATCATGCCTAGATGTTACAGTGAACGGTATGAAAATGACGATTATCATGCCTAGATGTTACAGTGAACGGTATGACAATGACGATTATCATGCCTAGATGTTACACTGAACGGTATGACAATGACGAATGTTACACCAAACATTTCCTTTGTTTTATATCCTTCAGCATGTTGACAAATACTGATATCTATGTGTAAGATGTTGTTCATGATGAAGCCAAACTAATATGAATGTGATTGATATTGTTGAAATACAGGTTTAAATAGTGTATATATAATATCGATAACACATTGCGCGGAATCAAGATTCTATTACGTAATACTGATACTGTTGATTCATTCATGCATTTCCTAATCTGCTAAAAGTCGCTTTACCCGGTTTTTGCATATGATATACTGGTTCATGGACAACATTAGAGACAATGTCCAACAACCTGTTTAAATGAATTGTTTGTAGTATGTGATTGAATTCCAGAAGAAAAGACGACTGCTAATGTGTTTATAATACCTGTTGTATACTTTAAGCAGTCAATCATTTTAATTTATGATTGCAGTATCTTATCTTATACCTGTAATGTATTTTGGTAGTATTTTGTGAATTATCAGATTTAACTATTTTTCATGCTTATGTCGAAATTGTCAGCAACAAGTAAAATGTTTAAATAGGAAGGTTCCTACTGAAATTTCCTCTGTTGAAGATATTTTTCAGTCAGAATACCTTAGAAGATGTTAAACTCTGAGACAAAAAGTCCCGACTAACCTTATTATGTTTTCAATCTAAACAAAAATACTGATAAGTGACCTTTGTAATGTTACGTTACGACAGACGACAGTGGTCGTCCCAACTAATCTTGTTATAACATTGCAGTGGTCGTCTCCCTTGACCTCATGACTTGATATGACTGATTAAGGGTAGTTATTCATCACTGACCTGGCTAAGACGTTAGTTCCGATTGTCTCCCTTGACCTAAATATGACGTGAAATACAAGTACTATAATGTGTATTTTTCTAAGGATGGTCGTCATCACTGACCTGACTAAGACGTTGGTTCCAATTGTTTCCCTTGGCCAAATACTAATTATGACATGATATACAAGTGCTGTAATGTGTGTGTTTCCGACGTTAGTCGTCAGTAGCTGATCTGGGTATGGTGTTTTGCACCGACCTTAATTTTAAAATAAATGTCATACCGGCCTTCTGCGACTTTCTGACGACAAACGTCCGCAATGACATACATTGTAGTTGT